AAAATAGATACTATTATGATACTGTACGCAGAGAGAATGCTTGGTCTGAAATATCCAAAAAGACGGGAGATTCTAGTAAGTAAAACTTATATTGATAAATAATTTATGGTGGATTTGGTTTAGTTGTGGGTTGAAATAGCGAAATAAAATAACATACGAAAATTGGTTACATGATGTAACATAATAGTCACGTTCATAGCCCCAAAATAAAACAACAAATAAAGTAGTTGGATATTTTTTTAATTTATTTTAAGGCATTTTTTCGCGATCTCTCGTAGACATCTTACCGGCGCGGTGGCGGCGCCAAGCATGATGTAATTTCATTTTGATGTCTATACAGGCGACAATTACCGATGGCGTTTTGTGATCTCGACTTGTAAAATTATTATTAATAACCTCGATTCTTTGCGTGAAATTGCAAAACAAGGTAGTGGGTATTGTTGTTTCTTTAACTATGTAATTTGTTTCTTTAACTATGTAATTTATAATACTTTCGAAGAAGGAAAGTTAAGTAAATTTAAGTAAAATGTGCATATATAAGTAGCGGGTGCTTTTCACAAGTGACTCACCCCGATAACATTTTTATTCTTTTAGAAAAAAAAAAGATTTGGTTTGTTATGTTGATTACTTCTTATTTCACCCGAAATGACACGACAACTTTTTATTTTTAAATGGTCCCTCGGTATTTTTTACTTTATTTGATAGCAAGAAATTCTGAAGAAAACGATATACACTCAATAGGTTTGTTGAGGTTTTTGTTATTACTGGTTCTGAACCGTCCTAGAACTCTAGAACCCTACAGCACGTGCGCAGACAAAAAAATTGCCACATATTTCCTTCTGTGCATGCGTATCACAGTTTCAGGACGGTTTAGAAGCAGTAATAAGAAAAGCCCGAAGTAGGCTAATATCGTATGTCAACTTTTAACGTTTTCGCTTAAAAATAGTATTTTAAATATCAATTTAGAGTGATATAACGACAATGGCTGTATTTATAACGACAGTTTGACTCGAAATACCAAGTAGGTATGTGGTAACAAATTATTCGTATAAAAATTAAAAATACGATATGATAGAGAAAAAAATGGCGTCCAGTTGGATGGGAAATGACGATTGATGACAATTCCTATATAAATTTACATATAAAATGGCACCGACCTTCATTTCGTGGCCATCGCTGATGTCGTTCCTTACGTACCGATAATACGGTACTATAAAAACTATTTATTTTTTTTTTCAATTTTCTTTGACTTTTTTATTATATTTTAATTTGTTAAAATCTTGGTTTTAAGTCAGTAGTGGATAAAACGAAACTTGTGTTTACATTTTGTTTAATAATTGACGTTTCGACCAATTTTAATTCGGGCTTCTTCAAAATCTATAATATACAATACAATTTTATCACTAACAATGTGTTTAATATATAATTTTTTCTTACCATTAACGTAGAACATTATTTACACGTATATTATAGATTCTGAAGAAGACCGAATTAAAATTGGTCGAAACGTCAATCATTAAACAAAATGTAAACACAAGTTTCGTTTTATTTACTACTGACTTAAAACAAAGATTTTAAAAACTTAAAATAAAAGCTATATATTTAATAATCTAATGTTTGTAATGACACTTATTTAGATTAAAAAACTAAAAATAGAAGTTTTATTTGACTATTTTTCATATCTAGCTTTGTTTTTAAAGAACAAATTAAACCCTTTGGGGTTATACCAAATTTGTTAAAATCGGTTAAGCTAAGAGTCATGTAGTATATTTTATCCCCATCTTCCACTCTATTTCACTAATTTTATGTGGTTTGTTAAGATCTAAATATATTAATGTGTGTTTGGTTAAGATCTAAATATATTAATGTGTGTTTGGTTAAGATCTAAATAATATCAATTTCCATCATAAAGCATAAAATATAAAAAGTTGCATAAAAATATAAATAGTAATAATACTTTATAATTTTTTGAAATGCCGAATGAATTTGACTAAATTTGAATAAACTTCTCCTCGTCTATGCTCAAATTTATGCTGGTGACGTACTCTCGACCGTCGATCGTGCGACTCCAGTGCGCGGCTACAATCGACTTTCCGACCGGTCGTGCCGATCGCGCCTCTCGCGCCGCTCGCACCGCTCGCACCGCTCGCTCTCGCCGATACCTATTCAGTGCGCGCGGAGCCTTAAAATTGTCACTGCATTTTGACCTCGATTTTTACAAAGTCGTATAAATACCGTATGATCGAATAAAAACGGCGTCAGCGATGGCTATGAAATCACGATCAATGACATTTTCCATATAATTTTACATATAAAATGACACCGACCTTCATTTCATAGCCATCGCTGACGCCGTTTTTATTCGATCATACGGTATTTCAAAAACAGTAAGATGAAAGTGCGGAAAACCTGAGGGTAAACCTTAAACAAATTTACCTTTATTTTAATCGTAGAAACTAAAAATGTAATAATATACAGGATGTTTCGTTTAGAAAAATACAACTTTGACATTTTTTCATTTTGAATTGTAGCTTTGGTAGTCCTCCAACTCCAACGGTCTCATCACTCACAATTTCTAAAAATCCAATAATTTGGCTACTAATACTCGGTGTCGAGGTGAATAACTCTGTATACAAAATATTAACAGAAATCTGAACATAACTAAATATTAACCAATTAAAAAATAAAAATAATAGCTACAAAAAAAATCTATAACAGGGTGTTCCTTAATGAAATGCTAATACTTAAGGGGGTAATTCTTGGTCCTATACTAAGAGAAAAACTTCATATAATTGTATGTCCTAAACAACTTAATTTCCGAGATACAGGGTGGTAAAATTTTCTTAAAATAATTTTTTTTATATAATAACTCTGATTCTATTAAATATATCTTTATGAAAGTTGATGCATGTCTTCTATGCATCAAAATACCTTTTATAGTCTACAAAGAATTTTATTTATTTCAACCAGTGCCGTCCATACAGGTTTTACATTGAATATTTTTGGAGAAAAAAATGGTACACCACTGACTTCTCTTAAAATAAAAATTATTTTCAAAAATCTCTATTCATTCCTAAAAAAAATATTTACGGCCAAATCGCTGAAAACCTTATGCGGTGACTGTTGTGTCGAAATCATTTCTACTTCGACCGGAAGGAAAATAAGGAATAAAACAATTTTTTTGTATATCGGAATAAGCATTTTGATGCATGGAAGATGTGTATCAAATATAACATCAGAGATAATTTGAAAAAAAATAGAAAATTTTACTACCCTGTATCTGAAAAGTTAAGATGTTTAGGACATATATTCATATGAAGTTTTTTCTTAAAGTAGCCCCAAGAATCACCTCCTTAAATATTAGCATGTCATTAAGGAACACGCTGTATATTTTCCAGAGGTAGGAAACTGTCAGTACACTTACGTGCTAAATTACATTCGATGCAATATTATATTAATATAACTTTGTATTAATTAAAACTACTTTAAATGCTGAAATACTAAAATGTTTAAAACAGTAAAAACTTTTCCAGAAAAATACAGCCAGCTACCAATAAGCTACCAGCAGCAAAAAATGGAAAATCCCAATTCAAAATAGAAATAATCTATACTACACTTTTTATATCCTATATTTATGATCATAAATTCTCATGTCAATATCCCAGACACCAGTTTTCATCCAAATATCGATATTAGTTCGGAAATTATTTGAAAAAAAATCGAATTAAAAATTAAACTTCAACACCCTGTATCTCCGAAACAAAGCATTTTAGGACATACATCTATACGAACTTTTTTACTTACTTTTATCTGCAGAATATGCTTCCGAAGTATCCGGAATACAGTTCGGACACCCTGTATATGTTACCGTAAATGTCCGAAATGCGGTAAAACCTAGGCTAAGCGCGCTAAACCTAGGATTTACCAATGAATTAACACCCCCCAAATAACCACGCTAACCAACTCGAAATGCGGTAAAACCTCGGATTTACCGCATTTCAGACATTTACAGTGACATATACAGGGTGTCTCAGAAATAAGTGCAAGTATTTTAAGAGATGGTAGATCTCGATAAAAGAAACATATTTTCTCTTTATCATTTTTCAAATAAGTCCAAAATAATGGAATTATTTTATTTTGAAAATTTCCAAAAATAAATATTTTTTGCTAAAATTTTGAGAACCACTGAATCTATTCTGGGTGTTCTTTCTTGTAAATTTAATCTACTACCTATGTTGCCATACTATCAAGAAATTACGTTTTTAACTAAAAACTAAAAAAAATTCCAAATTTTTTTTCAAAATATACCGAATTTTCAAAATATTTTTTTCGCGATAAAAACCTCATAGGCGTGTTTCTGTGGTTGAACTATACTACCAGTTAAAATACTTGCACTTATTTCTGGGACACCCTGTATAATTAAACCGCCGAAAATATTTTCAATCGATAGATCTCGTTGTGAAACAGTAATGTGCAAAAAATCTCCAATCTAGATATTATAGTGAAACTTCTGAGGCACGCTCAGCCTGGGACACCCTGTATTTTCCAGAAGTAGGAAACTGTCAGGACCGGTCAGGACACTTTCGTGCTAAAATACGTTGCTAATAATTTCGATAGTAATTTCGTATTATACGACATTTCGATATTATATAGTTTTTTTTCATTTAAAATAAAATAATTTAATTAAAAATATTTTAAATAGGTACTGAAATACTATTTAAATTTTAATTTTAAAAACAGTAAAAACTTTTCCAGGATAATATAGCCGACTACTAATTCCTAATCATTCTCAACTACCAGCAGCAAAAAATAGAAAATCTCAATTCAAAATAGAAGTCTATACTGCACTTTTTATATCCTACATTTATGATCATAAGCCACCGGATGGGGAAATGCTAGAAAAGTAAACAATTCCTTTTTAATATTAGAATTATAATCACAATTCGCCATAATAATTCACGTTCAACGATAAAAGCAGCCAACAGTATAAGCTCAAGTTTAATGAGACTGTACGCGACTTAGTAATTTCCCGGTTAATCGACATGTGGAATGGAATGTCTTAAGTGTTGTATGCCAGAAACAAAACTCTCCACATATTTAGTTCGGCCCGAATCTCGAACAGGGAATCTTATACCGCGAATTAATAGTTTACTTTTTGACATAATTAGGTGCGGCTGTGACGCGAGTTAAATAAAAACAGATTTTCGTAGAAAAATATAAATGAATACAGTTAGCGTTTGTGGTTTTGTGAATTAGTTAGTGCATTTATGGTTATTACAGACGGTGTTTAAATAGTTCAATACTCTTGATAATATTTCTTTACATCAGTAATTATATCATAGAATAGATAATAAACTCCGAAAAAAGTTCATATCGGGTTTCCTATTTGAGATTTTTGCAGGTAATATGGTAGCACACATTCTAAAAATATTTTCATAAATATACTGGGTGTTGCATCGTCTAGCGGGACATAGGAAATCCCATGTAAATTTTAATGGGGTCAATTATTGACTTCCCTAATTATTTTAGAGATAATTTTATTTAGGTTTATTGAAGAGCACTAAAACCCACATTTAAAAGAATAACTTTAGATATTTTTGATTAGCCCGTTTACGAGTTATCGCCGATTTCTTTTTAAATATTTCTCCTTTCTTATGGCCCTGTATTTACTTATGAGCACCAGTCAAGGTAAAAGATAACTGTCAAATGAAGTTGTCATTTCAGAAATTTATCTATTTAGTGCTTTATTATATTATTAAAAACTCATACCTACATCGAAAATATTAGCCATGAATTACTACCGAAGAAAAAGTATTGATTATTAAATGGTATTATCAAGGAAATAGTTATCAAAAGGTGTCGGACATGTTTGCTGCTCTGTATCCGAATAGACCGATACCTGGAAAATCTACAATCGCAAGGAATATCCAGAGATTTGAGACCAAAGATACCCTAATAAATAACTGCAGATGTGAAGCAAGGCAGGAACAAAGAGAAGATGCAAGAAATGATACCGACTTGGAAGTTTTATTGTGCGTGGAAGAGAACGATGGAAAGATCAGCACAAGGAAACTTGAGGATGAAATAGGAATAGATCACACTACAGCGTTTTGAATTTTGAAACGACATAAATACTATTCCTTCAAATATGAAAAGCACCAAGAACTACGAGATGGGGACGAAATACGGCGGCAGGCGTTTTGTTTTGATATGATGGAAAGAGCAAACACTGATAGGGAATTTTTAAAAAACATGTTTCACTGACGAATGCACGTTTACCATAAATAATGAACCCAATGTTCAAAATTATCGATATTGTAACAAAGAAAACCAACACAGGTTTGTCGAAACAAGGACGCAATATCCACAGAAAGTAAATGTTTGGGCAGGGATATTCGGACACAATATTATCGGGCCATTATTTCTTACGCGAAATTTAAATGCAGAATATTATTTGGAACTACTCGAAAATCATATTTTACCTGCTATTTTATTTTTTTTTATTAATTTTATTTATGATGCCGCTAGGGAAAATCAGGAAGTTTGGCACTAAATGGATAGCTGCCCGGCACATAGTACCCTGGCTGTTCGGGAATATTTAGACAATAGTTTTAACGGAAACGTTATTGGCCTAAATTATACATCAAATTGGCCAGCAAGGTCTCCTGATATTTCGCCAAATGATTTCTTTCTCTGGGGCCATTTAAAAACAGGATATACAAGCATAAAAAATACCCAAATCTAGACGAGTTAAAAAATGCTATTTCTGCCGAATGCAATAGAATTTCAGTTTACCAACTAGCGAATGTAAGAAGATAATTTTATGATCACCTGGGTTATTGTCTAGCAGTCGATGGAGGAATATTTGAACATCTTCTTAAATCCTAAAGTTCTAACAATTCAATAGTACCAGTACCTAAATTAATAAGTTATTGAATATTGTAATAATACTATAATTAACCTTGTAACTGATTACTTTATTTTACTTTAATTCATATTAATTTGTATTTATAAGTACATCTTTAAGATTTCCGATGTAGGAATGAGTTTTCAATAATAATAAAGCACTAAATAGGTAAATTTCTGAAATGATAACTTCATTTGACAGTTATCTTTTACCTTGACTGGTGCTCATAAGTAAATACAGGGCCATAAGAAAGAAGAAATATTTAAAAAGAAATCGGCGATAACTCGTAAACGAGCTAATCAAAAATACCTAAAGTTATTCTTTTGAATGTGGGTTTTAGTGCTCTTCAATAAACCTAAATAGAATTATTCTCTAAAATAATTAGGGAAGCCAATAATTGACCCCATTAAAATTTACACGGGATTTCCTATGTCCCGTCCGACGATGCAACACCCGGTATATACGGCTATTTTAATACCTTCTTACACAAAAAATATACAGGGTGAGTCTTAAATAAATGTAAATATTTTAAGAGTAGTAGTATATTTCGACCCCAGAAAAACACGTATAGGAGTTTTTTTTTCGCAAAAATTAATTTATGAAAATTTGAAATTTTTTGATAAATGTCTTCGAAATTTATTTAGGTGTTAGTTATAAAAATAATTTCTTCATAATATGGCAACATAGGTAGTAGATCAAATTTACAAGAAAGAAAACCTAGAAAAGACCCAGTGGTTATCAAAATTTAGGCAATTTTTTTTTAATTTTCAAAGACAAATAACTCATAACTCAATAAGTTATTTTGGACTAATTTCAAAAATGATAAAGAGAAAATATATTTCCTTTATAGAAATCTACCAGCCCCGAAAATATTTGCACTTATTTAATCTCTTATTTTTTCCAGAAGTAGAAAAATGTAGTTTTACATACTAAATAGTATACGATGCAATATGATTATAATTAATTTAATAATATAGTCCCTGTATAATTTTTATATGAATAGTATTGTCATTTGTTTACCACTCAGTGAATTTGTGATATAAATCTCCTAATTCCAGAAATACCGTATGATCGAGAAAAAATGGCTGAGGAATGACATTCGATGATAATTTTAGCGAGGTAAACCTCTAAATGTGATTTACTAAAAATTGACTTAAAACATGTCAAAAATTAATACACATTAATTTTCGTCCAAATATCGTCGTTAGTTTAGAAATTATTTGGACAAAACCAAAATAAAAACGAAACTTCTACATCATCCTGTATCTCGGAAACGAAGAATTTTATGACATAAATTTATATAAACTTTTTTACTTATTTTTTATCTGCAGAATATGCTACCGAAGTTTCCCGAACACAATTCGGATCACACTGTACAGGGTGGCTCGAATTCGACGCTCATCATTGGGATTTCTGAAACCGTAAGAGATACAGGATCGGTTGAGGCAAAGTTGCGCAATTTGATGCTCAATAAAATGCCGTATTGCATTTTGAAAAATTCCGAATACTTCCGAATATATTCGAAAAAAACGGAATTTTCAATTTTTTTTTCTATTGCTTCCTGGCTTTATTTGTTAAGATAACTTAAAATGAAAAACACATTTTCATGGCCACTTTTTCTGCTCTATAACTCTGTATGATTAAATATTGACTCTGACGTTTCGGCTTCTGGCGACCATCATTAACTTAATTTTTTAAATACGGACCTGATTTTTTTTTCAATTTAATTAAATCCTTTCATCACTCTTAAAACACTATATATAGTCATTTTGATATTTGCCGACGCGACGTTTCGTACAGAATATTTTATACAAAAAATAAAAAATAAAAATGCAATACAGCATTTTATTGAGCATCAAATTTAACCGATCCTGTATCTCTTACGGTTTCCGAAATCCCAATGATGAGAGTCGAATTCGAGCCACCCTGTACATGGTGGCGCACCTCACTCGCCTCAGTTGATTATACGAAAACGGAAAGATGTAGAAACAAAATATTTTATGGGTATTTGTGGAAAGTCAATGTGCATAGTTTTAAATTATTTTGAAATGTACAGCGTCTGTCAGAACTAAGATCCACATCAAAGTTATTTTTTATGGAACCCCTGGTATTTTATTTCATATTTGGATCTTTGGACATAAAATAAGGCATTTATTATAAGGGTTAAATCTGTTTACAAGCTCTGTTTTTTGAGATATTTAAAGATATTTAAATATGCATGCTATAATAATAAAGATTGTCAACAACCTGTACATTGCTTTTCAGAATTCATTATTGTGCTGACTTTTAAGCCAAGGAGATAAACTTTACTGAATAATTTGATTGCTTTGTTTAATGTATACAGGGATATCAAAAATTCTGGTCTATATTAAATAATTATTTTACATAAAAACTGCGTTATTTCAAATACAACGCCCTGTATTTTTTTAAATAAATCGAAGCAGATTCAAATGCTCTTTCAAAATATATTAGGGTTTCCTATACCTATCTGGCTCATATTTTGAATAAAAAGCGATTTTTCAATAAAATGGCAATCAAGATGGCTGGTGTCGCCATGGCAATTTTCTAGTGACAGATAGTAGGTATTTTCAATACTAAAATTAGTTTATATACTCTATTTAAATTTATACCAGCTTACTTTTATTTAATTTAGCCCTAAAATAGTTTAATAAATAATATATGTATTAAATATGTATTTATTATTCTATCAAGAAAATGTCAAGTAATGTACTTTGATTTATTTTACGATGACTTTTGAATATGAATTTTCTATAAAAGAGCGATAAATAAAAATATTACGGCAAATTCATTTTCTTCACTTCCAACGACAGGTTTCTGCCTAATAGTTTTTTTTATAAACCACACTACTAGCTCAGCGAAATAGGACAAGTAGTTTCTCAAAGGAACTCTAATCAGGAAGATTCCTATTTGGATATCTTTGAGCATAAGCCCTTGAGGCCAAGAAGCAATTTTTTGCACTTTGCAAAAAAAACTTGAAGCAACTTTGGTATGGATCTTAGTTCTGAGACACCCTGTATATTTCCTCCCCACATATACCCATAAAATATTTTGTTTCTACATCTTTCCGTTTTCGTATAATCAACCGAGGCAAATGAGGTGCGCCACCCCGAAAAATACGCCAGAAAAAAAACGTGAAAAAAAGGGAGCAGTGGTGTATAATATGATATTACGGAATTTTTTGGAATGGAAATTTAATTATTTTAACACTTCAATATAGAAATATATAAATATTTTTAAAACGTGCGTTACCAATGGCAATGCCTCAAACTTTGTAAAAAAACATTGAAAATTTCAAATAGGAAACCTGATATTAGGCTTTTTCGGAACACTTCTTTCTTGGTCCCCAATACGTTAATTAAAGATATATCAATTTTAATTGTGTTCATTTAAAAGGCATGAATTGATGAAATAAAAGTCATATTTAATAAAGGATATTTAAATTACGGGTTTTTTATTAATCTATTTAAGTAATATTAATGTAAACACAATAGGAATATACTTTTAAGAAGTTTTGTCATTAATTGTATCGCATATTTATTGATTAATAGTCATTAAAAATACTATTTACATAATACGCATTGTCTTGTAATATTAAATCTATAGCATTATTTAATTTAATATCTTAAGTTAAATATCTATTATAAAGAAGCCCAACAATAAATAGAAATCAACAAGACATTATATTTTCTCATTAAGAGTACACTATGTATAAACAGTTTAAAGCAGCTTTATATTAAACAAATTCTCCTTGTTTATGAAACAAAAAGCTTTTATGTAGTTTTATTAAAGTGTATATGAGCAGTAACATAATCAAGGCTAATTAAAACTAAAATAGACTTTAAGCGTACTTTTCCACAGTGGCACTGGAACTGGAATGTTTCAGCATCAAGTGTCTCCTTCATAAAATGTTATATTTTCCGTTAAATAATACAAGAAAAAATAAGTATGTAGTTAAAGGAAGTACATTCAGTTAAATGGCATTTGTAAAAATTAGCATTACAAAATGTGTAGGAGTAATATGTAACTGAATTTTTCGATATTTGATGAATTTATAAGAACTTATCGTAGTTTGAAGTCATTTAGGATTTCCGTAATATCATCGATTATTTCGTCACTTTCTGATTCCTTTTAATGACAATATTCAGAACTTTATTTTCATACTGATTTTTCTTATAAAAATACACATACATAATGCTTGAGATGCTAATCGGTCGTTCATTACAGGCATTAGAATTTGTTACACTTATAATAGTACTTCAAAGCCGTTTTGCCACAATTGTCAAAATTACTCATTTTCTTAGTACATCAATTAACTTAAAATCGGCGAGGAAAATTTTAAGCAATTGGTATTTTTTACTCAAATACAGCAAAAACATATATTTTAGTGCTATGCCAAGTCTTATTGAATTTTTGCATTACTTCCTGATTACCAAATCCTAGGATATTATTACCTGTTTTAATAATCCCAGCGATTAAGTAATGTAGCCAAAACTATTTATTTTACAGCTTAAAAACTATAAAAAACCTTTATTCTTTTAAAACCCATAATAACCCCAAAATAAAACTATTAAGTGTTTACTATATTTGGTCTGTAGAGCAACGGCCTAGCTACGTTGAAACACCGGTTCCCATTAGAACACCGAAGTTAAGCGACGTAAGGCGATACTGGTGGATGGACGGGTAACCGGTTCGAAACTCTGTATCGTGCTGTTGTTCAAGAGAAAAGTGTAAAATCTATTGATACACAATGCTCATTCACGCCGGTTCGAGGCCGGATGAGATCTGATATCTCGTGGGTAAGAGTTGATAGACACTTCCTAAGTCGGTAGGCCATTGACCATGAAATGGCCGAGGACCGCGGTTCGACCACGCGAGATTTTCCAATGGCGTAGCATCAGAAATTAGCTTGTACCCAGACGATACAAAATATTTATTAAAACGTAAACTAATATATAGTTCATTTTTGAGTAATGCATATACAATTTTGTATTTTATTGCATTTGCATTGTAATGCTATTTTTATAGTCTAACCTTTATAATATTAGAATATCTAAGTCGATAATGCAAAATTCATTTAACAGTCACAGTGGACTGATCTTCTAGACAATTATTTATTTATTAACGTCTGTATAATGTATAATTAAATAAAAAATAATGTAAATATATATGTTTTAAACGTGTATGTACATACCGTATGATCGAAAAAAGCGGGGTCCTGTTTGTTTGGAAATGATGATCGATGACATTCCTCAAATAATACTTAATATAGTGTGATCAACGGATCTGTAGCTACGGGGTATCGGCAGGGGAACGCAGTTGTAAACAAGACACGCCCAATTTCATTCATAAAATAGGCATGGGCGTACGGTTTTTATGAAAATAATGTGTATCATAAATATAAATTCTGATTAATAATTTTTTTCAAAAAACTTTATCCTGTTTGAATCGTTACTGTTGAGTTAGCAGATAAACACACTAAAAGCTTTTATTAAAGCTCCCTTAAATATTTTGAATAATTTTATTATTATGTGTTGTTAATATAATAGAAGAAATAATTACAGCTGGGGGTTGGAACCTTTGGTGTTACACAGCAAAATAAAACACTAAATCAGCACAATACACCAAAACACTTTTACTTTTACATTGGGCGCACGTTTCGCTAACCATGTTAACATCATCAGCAGATGATCAAGACTGAGTCTTGAGGTATATTTATTTATATATCTGTACTAACTATATTTTTTCTACAATACATAATTTTAGATATAACTATTTCCAGCAAAAAAAAATCTTGAAAATAGTTAACTTTGGAAGCGCAAACAAAACATAATTTTACTCACCAGTAGATCCAATATTGCCTATTACACCAGATATGGTATCGCTTC